AAGTTATTTCCCAGAATTTAAAAGTTCCATCTAATAATTACCATCACCTCCAAATCCCAAAGGTTATATACAAAAGGTATATTTAAATAAAATTAACACTTAAAATTGCTATTTAACATGCTATTAAAAGATAATTTTAGCAGTAGTAAGGACAAGACAATTGAGTGATAAAAAATATTTCCTTCTTCCTTTTCTCTTACTACCCACATCCAACCAGCAAGTCCTCTCGACTCTCCTTCCAAAATATATTCCAAATCCATCCACCTTTTTCCATCTCCACTGTCTCCACCATAGTCCAAGCTACTATCATCTCTTGCTTAGGTTACTGCAACAGCTTCACAACTGGTCTCTTTGCTTCCTGTCTTGCTCCCTCTTATAATTCATTCATTATATAGCAGCAGAGTGACAGTCTCAAAATGCAAATTAGATCACATTATTCTTGTCCTTAAAATTTTTTCAATGATTTCTTCTATTCTTAGAACATAATCTAAACCTTCATTCCACAAGCCCCCACAACCCCATTCCTTCCTCCCTTTGCCTCTCAGTGCTCATCATGACACCACTCTTAGCCTCACTTGCTATGGTCCTGTCACACTTTCTTTCCTACTGCTCCAACAGACAAAAAATTTGTCTGGTTTAAGGCCTTGATGCTTACTGTTTCTTGTGCTTGGAATGTTACTTGCTAACATCTTCGGATGAGTGACTTCTGTCATTCATGTTACAGCTCAGATGTTCTTCTCAAAAGAGGTCTTCCCTGACCACTTTATCTAATGTTGCCATGTAGTCACTTATTACATAGTCCTCTTTTCATTATTTTCACAACCTGAAATAATCTTTCTCTTATTTGTTTACTTTTTTCTGTCTGTCTTCCACCTCTAGAATGTTGACTCCATGAGAACTGGGACCTTGTCTTCACTGCTTGGCACACAGCAGGCTCTTAATATTTGGAAGAAAGAAACCGATTTTATGTGACTATCATCTTAGGTCTTATATAAATTGGTCAAGTTGGATGAACTCTTCTAAGGCTGCCCAAGAACTAACACATTAAAATGGAAATAATGTAATCACTTCACTCAAAAGATGCTCAACAGCTTCATTTAACATAGTCAGAAAAAATAATATTTTACTTTTATTTATTTATTTTTTGAGTTTTACTTCCTGTTCTCCATCTATCAGTTCTCAATAATTGTAAGAATGTACCCATGGTCTAGACAGAGCCCTGATCCCTCTAACAGCAGTCCTATCAGGAGATTAATTTCTTTAGCTTACTTTCTCAATGACTTTGAGGATACCGCTACGGAACCACTTTAATTTGTTACTTCTAAGGTAAAGTATCTGTTGGGCATACATTGTCTCACGCTTTTTTTCTAGAGGCAACTACCTCTTGGGCACTGTAGACTGGTCAGAATCCCAATATATTTTAAAATATTTTTTCTGTAAATGGGCTTCTTTAAGCAAATAATAATAACAACAATAACAAAATAAACTCTCAATAATGAAATGCTGTTACATGTATTTATTACACTATGGTGGGGAAAATATTTCAAGAAAAATAAAGCTGAGGGCTGTTGGCAATAACACCTCCAAGGCATTTCTTCCTATCTTAGATAGTAACCTGAAATGTTCAATGTTCAAAGAATTTTTAATCTAATTTAAGATGTATTTTTAAACGGCCTTACTAGTTATAGTGTCTCGGCAGACTGATGGTGAGGAAACAGTCAATATAAAGGTAAGACTTTCGTTCATTGTACATATCAAATCAACAAGACCAAATCTAAGAATTATTAATAGGCCCTTTACTACTAAGAGGGTATATAAGCAAACATAGTCATTAAATGGTCAATCTATATACATGCAGTTAGAGCCGTAACCCAGAATTTTAACGAGAAAATCAACCTTATACAAAATCTCTCTACTTTTTTACAATACACATTCTTTAAAAAAAGTAATGCCCCCAATTTAGCATTTCATCCAAGAAAACCTTATGTAAAGTATTTATATAGTCCAGAAAATCATAAAGCAGATAATGGCAGTGTACCTATGGCTATTGTTTAAGAATAAGTATTTTTAGCAACTGACTCTATTATAATAAATCTTATTGATTATGAGCTCTCTTTTTTCCTAAGTATTCTGAAATATGGCATTTCAATACACAGCACTCAACTTCACTAGATTAAATGCTAAAAATGCATTTCTAAATTTGTTTTCAGCTTCTAGGTACAATTTCAGCCTATTGAACCTATAATACAGTTGAATGAGTACTTACTGTATTTCTGTTTTTACTATTCATCAAGAAGGCAGGTATCCTCACCACCTGTAGAGAGGGATGTCTGAAACCTGAAGGACTATGTTTTACCCTCTGAGAGGCACTTCTGTACTTCCTTGATCCTCATTAGTTGTTCCTAACACCTAGGATATCAGTATGGCAGCTATAATCAACTGAGAGTACATATGCATACATAACCCAGGAATCAAGCAAAACAAAATGCCAATTATCCTCTCTCTGAGATCAATACTCTTGAAAAGTTCCCACAATTCAAGGTTATAGTTTTAGTTCTTTTCCTGAGGGGCATAAAAATAACTGTAATAAAGCAAAATAACAGCCTGAATTCTATGAATTGTATAAAGGAATTCAGCGTAAAACGTTGAAGCAGAATGTTTATGATCTGATGTGATTCATACCCCCCCACCCTTTTTTACTTATAGAATGGCAGAAATCAGAAAGCAATACCACTTTAGTTTAACTTGGAAATGTAAAGAACAATGTCAAATGTTCATTCTTTTCATTAGTTATTACAAGTTATGGTTTGAAAAACCAAACCAAACCAAACCAAAAACACTAAATGAAGTTGTTTATTCACTACGGTCTGGGTCTTCACTGAACTGAATTCTGTAGTTTAAGTGATTATGGAAAGAAATAATAGGCTTTATCAGAGTTTCCGAATAAGCAACTTGGTTTAAAACATTTCCAAATTTGTTAAAATTTAAAAGAAACTAGTCCCATTTTTAACACTCATATTAATACTTCTAATATTACTAGAGTATCTTAAAACATTTTCAAAAGTAAAGGTGAGATTAACTTATTTCCAAACATATAAAGATAATTTATTTCAAAAAACCCTTTGATATATCATTAGTACAAATAATCATGCAATTACACTTTAATTTCAGGCATATACAATGAATGTGCTATGCTACTAAAGCACCACAACAACACCATCCCTACAGTAGAAGACAAGCAATCCTTAAAATCAGGGATGACAGTCTGCTGTTTTTGAAACAGAAATGATAGTTGACCCAGAAGGGCAGGCACATGTGATCTTACAGATAAGTAGATATAAAGTGGTAAATAAAAGTGCCTATATAATGCATGCCTGCCATCCATCCATCCATCCATCCATCCATCCATCCATCCATCCATGTATCCAAACATTATTAAAATACGTAAAAGGAACTAGACATTGCTTGAGGTTTGTTCTTAGACCAAAGGCACACATTTTTTGGATGGCTGCACAGAAGTACTATCTGATCTCAGGACAGAAGAATCTAATTGGTACTCACTGAATTCACCCCAAATCTTGGTCACATTAGTAAGTGTTCACTGACTCTGAATCTTTTCAATTTCTGAGTCAATTGGTCCTGTAGCTATACGTTCAACTCTGAGAGTCTCCAACCTGACCAAGACGAACTTTTAGCCTCAACGGCCTCCCTTGCCAAATAAAATCAAAGTAAGGAAATGGAATGGCTTGATGTGAAAAGCTGCGTGAATACATAGGTCACTGGAATAATAAACCCATGCTCCAGATACAACTTGGAGCTATGTGCTTATATCTTGACGTTTTGACTGAGACACAGAATTAAGGATATATAGCCCAGCATTAGAACAGGGCCTGATCTCAACCTTGTCCGACATAACGTTGGCAGTGTATTTACTGCAAAAGTAAGGACACTGCTCTTGGAGAAAAACAATGCTGTATGACAATGTGTGTATCACTTGACCCTATTAAGCGTCAGTTTCTTTTCTATAAAATAGGCATAATAATCACTGCCCTGTCTGATTCACAGGGTCACTGAGAAGCTCAAATAAGGTAGTGAATGTGAAGGTACTCAAAAACAGCTAAATTATTATGACTGTGAGGAACTCCTTTTTTGAACGTTTGAACTTTCTTCCAACTCAAGAGTTTTTTTTGAAAGTTTAGCTAGAATATCCAGACACTGAATATCTAAATTAATAGGGTTTTGGAGAAGGCGATAGAGAAATAAAGAAAAATGATGATTAGGATACTAGGTCAGAACATAGGGAATTAGTTCTAGCATTACTCTCAAGTCCTGACGCAAAACCAGGACGGTTACTTTGCAGACACTGGCCAGCACTCCCTCTTCCCCCCCAAGCTGTACTGTGTTACTTTTAGGTGAATTACTGGAGACAAGTGGATTCTCGAGGTGCATGGAGAGGGACTCCCAACTGAACATCAACCTCTTCCTCAATCCCTTTAACAAACACTTCTACTCTTAGGGCCTGGCCCAGTTAATCAAAAACTATTTCCGGATAAGAAAATGGCTGTTAAAGACTTCCTTGAGGGAGATTCTTGTAGCACACCTACCCCTTCCCACATCATGAATTTTATATTTCTAATGGGCAGGTTCTGAGACAGAAAACCCGAGTGATGTTTTGTTTCTCCCAAGACCCACCCACAGGCCTTACCCTCCAAGCCTCAACTCTACCGTTATAAAATGAAGAATAACGACACATGTCAGTTCCATCCCAAGGACACCGAGAGAATGAATGGGACAGTGCCTGGAAGGCGCCAGGAGTAACAACTGATAAACACCGAGTCCATAACTGTTTATAAAGTGTCATGATGAGTCCGGTTGTGCTCTTCCGCCTCAAGAAAACCGCCCGGTTAGAACTGACACCCCAGTTACTGAAGTCGACGCAGAAGTGGACCGGGCGCGTCCGCACGGAAGGGTAAGGCAGCACGGGGCCCACGCAAGCCTACCTGTTGTTCCGGATGCTGACCAGCACGCACAGCACCAGTTCCAAGTAGGTGCGCAGCACTTCCAGCCAACGAGTTGAGAGCTGCAGGGCCTCGACTTCTTCCCCTCCAGTCCCGGTGTCCGCGCGGCCTCCGTTGCCTGGGCCGCCGCCGCCGCCGCTCAGGTAGTTCTCGGCGGCGAACTCAACGCGCAGCTCTCGCACGAACCAGCCGCACTTGCGCATGAGGAATTCGAGCCGAGGCTGCTCCGCGGGAGAGACGCGGAGGCAGATGCGGAGCTGGGGCCAAAGAGCCGGGTAGAAGAGGCACTCGCGCCAATGCGAGCAGGAGGCCGAGGCCCGCAGCCGGTCGGGGGCGGACAGGAAGGAGAAGATGTGCACGATCAGCTCGCTGGGCAGCGATGCGGCGCCCGCCGCCTGCCCGCACAGAGCCATCCGGTCCCGCCGCCAGCTGCCGGCCACCGGCCGCCCCCGCAGTCCTCGGAGCAGCCCCCGCAGCCGTCGCAGCTGCTGCAGCCGCTGCCGCCGCCACCGCGCCACCCGGGCGGCCCCGGCTCGGGTTCGAGCTCCCGGCGGACGGGGCTGCGGCACTGACAAGAACAACAACATCAATGACAAGGAAGAAGTGGGCGGAACCGTCGTGGGTCTCGGCGGAACCAAGTGGAGCACAAGTTGCCGAGAGGGGGAAAGGCCTCCGCGGGGGTGGCCTACATATAACGAGCCTGTGGCCTCTCAAACTCTACTCACGAGCGTCCGAGGCCTGAACCATCAATAACTTCAAAACGCTCGCTCGTACCATTTAAGGGGCCGGAAGCGGCAGCGCTTACCGTAAGGAAACGTCAGCCCTCCCCGCACCTGGAGGCGGAGGCAGAGCAGTGGTAGGAGCTGACCTCGACGTCATCGGAGGTGGGAGGAGCCGGCGCGGACCCGCGCGACTTCCGGAAAAGGGGAGCTCCTGGTTGCCGGTAGGGAAGGGAGACGCGGCACGTGACCCCTGACGCATGCAGGCCGGCGGGGTGGAGCGGGACCCGCCGCGGGCTACTCCCCACGCCTCACGGCCACCGCTGTGCCCCCTCAGGTCTGTGAGTCGGCCAACTTGGGCGTCCGGTTGGTAGAAGTGGCGCAACTCCGGCTCAGTGCCAGAAGTCGTGACGCTTCTCTGTGAAAGTTTCTAGTGGTTGGGCTGAGGACTGTGAGCCGACGTGCTAGCATGCAGGATCTTTCGCAGCCGTCCCATCCGTCCTGAGTGGTGTTAGCAATTTCTGAGACTGCGCCACTAAGCGGGGAAGCGTGCGGACTCGCGGACTAACGCTGACGGGACGTGTCGAGGGAAGAGAGGCGTGGGGCGGGGCGGCCAAGAGGCCGGTGGGAGGTTGCACGGGGACCTTCCTCCTGGTGGGACGATGCAAATTGACTTCCGCACACACACACCGGTGTGGGGGAAGGAGTGAGGACAGCGCCACCCTTTGGATTTTAGAGAGATTGAAAAAGAATTGGCAAACGAGTCCGAGATCTGCAGTTTGCTTATCAGCCTCTTCAGGCTTGGGGAAGGGTTTCAGTTCTCGGTACCGAGATTTAAAGGCCCTCGTTGAAAAGAAGCTGGTGGTGATGACAGAAGTTTTCTTTAGTTTGGCGCCCCTAACTTGAGAGGGATTTTCGAAACAGTGTTCCTTAACTTCACCACAGCCTGCGAAGTGAACTCTGGTTGTAAGGGACGATGAAGTCAGAAAGGATTAGGTGACTTTATGTGATAATTGAGGATTGTTTTAGGGAGGCTGCCGCTTCAAAGCCGTAACTGTGGTTTTGGAATAGCCTTGTTCGCTTGTGGTAAACACCAAGAAGCTGTTATAGATGTTTTTAGTTCTTTGAGGGTAAAGCTCTTCGTTTATGTTTCTTTAATGCCTTTTGGTGCCTTGCACAGACCAGGTTGCCAACAATATTATGTTGTTACTTCTGGGTTCTCTTCAGGTCAGTACCTGTAAAAAAAAAAAAAAAAAAAAAGGCCGTCATTCATGGTAGGTCACATTTCTGAACCCCTGTTTGCAAGAGTTCTGTGTAATTATTATATTTCATTAATATTTAATCAGTATTTAGTGGTAACAGCAGTGAATTAGGAAACTGAGACTTAGATTTTAATTTTTTATTTCTTAAACTTAAGTATTTCGAAGTGAGCCATCGACATCTAGATCTTTTACTTGTAGGTACTTAAGTGTGCATATCTGTAAAAGCATATTCCTACATAACAAAAATAATATTATCACACCTAACAAAATAATTCCTTGAATATTATATTCTGTATTCAGATTTATCCAGTTATCTCCCAAATGTCCTTTACAGCTGCTTTGTCCAAACTAGGATCAAGTTAAATACCACACTTATATTTGGTTATGTATCTCAACTTTCTTTATCTAAAAATTGAAAAGACTAATCTTTTAATCTTTAATAGTCACTCTTCACGTTTTTTTCTTACATTCTCATTTTCCAAAGAGACCAAGCAAATTGTTCTGTAGAATATCTCACCCTTTGCATGAATATTTGTTTGACTCTTTTCTCTTGTGTTTAGCTTAAACTTTTAGTCCCCGTGTTTCTTATAAACGTGGACATTAATGCTAAAGGATTGATTGGGTTAAAGTTACAAGATTTTAAACAAGATTTTACCATAGGTGATGTTGACTACATTGAATTACACACAAAATCTGCTTGAACTACCACCAGTAGTTTTAAAAAAAATGACTTCTAGGTTGATGACAGCTTGTTTTCCCTCCATGCAAAGTTCTGTGTTGTGCTTTATTTTGTGTTTTTCCTCTTTAAAACAAAATAATCTGTGAGGTGTTAGTTTGGTTTCCTACATATGTCTAACTTCCCTCCCATCAAATAGTCACTTAATAGTTTTAACAAAAATTGGTAATTCTTGCCTGAGTCATAATTTTATTAAGGATTGTAAAATGATAATTTCTAATTCTTTCATTCCGTGTACAGTTATTAGTTTGCATTCTTCTGTAGAGTAGATGCTTTCTTTCATAAACTAAGGAAATTTAGTTATCCTGAAATACAGCTCTTAATTGGAAAGGCAGGAAAAAAATGCATAGTTCTTTTTCTTTTGTTACTGATTTTGAAAGTAATATGACCTCAGAGGGTGACAGATTTTTCTAGCTTTTACTTTTTCTGTATTCTATTATGTATTCATGAATTNTTTTTTTTTTTTTCCTTTTTGTCTTTTTTTTTCGTGACCGGCAACGGATCGCAACCGGCAACGGATCGCAACCCTCAGTGTCACGCCTGTACCGGACCGGGACTGGCC